CCCCCCCTTGTTTTTTTTTTTTTTTTTTGATAAAATGCTGTTTCACCCTATTTTCATATATTTTTTCATCTCAATGCTGCTCATCTCTATCAGCCTCATTCAACTACCTCTTGTCTTTATGCACACACTCCAGTGTCAACTGCACATCATTGCTCTGGACTAGCTTCCTAGTAACAGCATTGAAACAAAAAAACACAAACAGCGCTCTCAGATGGAGACCCTAAAAATGGATAACTAACTAACATGCAGCCCTGGTAACAGGAGGAGAACCTATAAATGTAATAACAAAAGAACACAAAAGGGTGCAAAGGCAATGAGGAACTAACTAACTTGGCAGAACAGGCTCTCTCTCTCTCTCTCGATATTCCCTACCCCACTACTACCACTGACTTGACCGCCCGCCGCATGTCGGCATCCCCCTACTGTTGCTACCACGGCTCCTGCACACCGCTCCATTCCGATCTAACAGAGACCGAGTACTGTCATCCATAGCCACAGCAGCTCAGCCAGATGTAACGCCGCCGAGTCTCCTCCACAATGCTTGGATCTCTCACTCATGCAGCGGTGACACGGACGGAGTCCCTGCTCTGCTCCCTCTCTCCTCGTTCACAGTTCTCTCCTCTCTCCCCGTGGACGAACACCTTCGGGCAGCAGACCAGCCAAATTTGGGCATACACCTCGGGCACCCCAATCTTCCACACAGGCCGCCCCTCCTCTGGTCCCCGGACTTACATGTAAGTGTCTAACAGCTTTTTTTGTGCCATGTTCTGCCAAGTTAGTTAGTTCCTCATTGCCTTTGCGCTCTTTTGTGTTCTTTTGTAGTAACAGCATTGGTGGACTATGTCAGCACAGCTGCTGAAAAGGTAACAATACAGGAGCACCCCAGCTGTCACCCCATAACCAGGGACGTGCAGTCAGCTGACAGCTTTTTCTCCATTCCATTCAGAGCGGCTTGTAACAGGTTACACAGCAGGGAAAGCCTCCCCGCTTTGTAACCTGTCATGGACAAAGCGCTGCCTGTTTATTACAGGCAGCTATGGTCAGATGGAAAAAGTGCAGCAGATTCCTCCATCTATGCCAAACTGTTTGGATGGAGGAATCTCCCACTGGGCCAAGCTTCAGCATTTTGCTAGTTGGCCCCGCTGGCTCTCAAAACACCGGAACAATGCCTGCATCCAATTAGATTTTGACAGCCAGCGGGCGCCAACTAGCAAGATACTGAAGCTTGGCCTAGTGGGAGATTCCTCCATCCACACAGTTTAGCGTAGATGGAGGAATTTGCACTTTTTCCATCTGACCATAGAAAATCTATAGAAATTCTATAGGTGTATGACCAGCTTTAGAGTGATCATGTAAGAAAAGGACCGCCTTCTTGTTCTGTATAACAGACAAATGTTCAGTTAAATCACATTAGCAGAAGCAATCAAATAGTTGCCACAAATGTAGAAAAAGAAGGTCATCATACTACTGCCTCTACCAATGCTGTCATACCATACCAGGTTTTGATAATGTCATACCATACCAAGTTTTGATAATCCATTTATAGGCACATATACATGGGCACATTTGCACCAAATATTCTACAAGTATTTCTTCCTGAAATTATTTAACAATGCGCAAAGCTTGAACTATATTTTGCAGTGGCCCATCCAAATTCCAGAAAATATGTCTCTGCCGAAAAAACTGGGACAGTGTTCTGCTAAAAGCTGTTTTTGTCCAGTTTCCTGTGAGTTGGGTGTCCATTCACCTACCCTTCCCCATGTAGTGTGCAGCAGGTTGTACGAGCATCATTACATCACTGTTAGCTAGCTTGGGAGTTGACTGCAGCAAGGTGTTTATATATTTTTTTGCACCCATCCACACCCTGCTTATTTCATTGGTAGGGTTAGAGAAATAACTAAAACACTTCCAACTGCCAGGTAACTTCATTCAGCTAGCTTACATGATTTGTGATTTGTTTATGAGCATGGACCTATACTAAGAGAAAGTAATGTTGTGTGGCCTGCAGTGCCCTCTCCCAGTTAAGCAGAGAGGGCACCTACATAATGATTTCTTTTCTCGTTGTTTCAATCGATAAGTATTCCACCCATTTCTGTTGCTCTTCATATGTCTTTGACTGATCAACAATCTTCTGGAACATTGTTCTCTTCCTGAGAAGACAGATAATAATGAATACTCACATCACACTTAGACAAATGGAAGTTATGTATAATATCAGAAGAAATTTTGGATAAAGGGTAATTGTAGTTTTAGTAGCTAATCAAAGGTTATATATATGTGCAGCTAGTTTTTGATAGAGTATGGAAATGTTAGAACCTTAAAGCCTGTGTCCCTGCTAATCAGCCCCCTGTCTGCCTAGCAACTGATGATGCAGATGGGCGGGCCGGCTGCTCTAGGCATTCATGATAGGCTCTGATCCCTTTGCTTTGGAGAGAGACAGAGCCACAGTGCTCTGCTCCTCCCACACTACTGGATACTACTCAGGGGACAGGGGACGGGTGTTTTATCAAAGTTTGTGACTACGTTGGAATGTGTGACCGGTGACGTGGTCACACATTACAACGTAATCCCGCTCAGTTTGACAGCGATGGAATGTGTGACCGCCTATTGGGTCAAGCATTCCAGCGCTTTGTCGGCTGTTCCAGGGCAGATCGGCACAGTGCGCAAGTGCAGGAGAACCGATCATATCTGCCTAGAACAACTGATCGGTCTGAAACGTCACTTCTATCGGACTTTGTGAATGTTGCAGAGGGGGGTGATTCACAAACAGTAACTGCAGGAGTGTTACAATCAGCGAGCACCGCAGATATGTTTTTTATATATCTGCAGCGCTGGCTGATTGTCACACTCCTTAAGTTACTGGGCCAATCATTTAAAAAAAATATAAAATGAATAAATTGATTTGGGATGTTGGGGTGGAGAGAGAAACTGCATGGCAGTTAGCGGGCTTGGCTTGGTGGGGGGCCCAAGAAAATGTTTGCCCAGGGTCCAATTCATATCAAAGACGGCCCTGCACAGAGACATAAAGTAATCTAAAATCTTAGAGTTGTCACTAGAACAAGAGGTAAGGTGAAGTACTCCAACAGGGACATCTGTTCTGTTGACATCTGTCTAAGAGGACAATTCCTTTCACTTTGCAGTGATTTTCTCTCTCTTCCTGTTGCATCTCTGAACCAGGAAGTGAAGGGAAATCTTTCTAACAGACAGCAAAAATTAAACTAACAGGAATTTTAACCCTTCCCTACTGTATTCAAAAGTAAAAAAAAAGGTTTGGCTATACATATATCACTATGGTATAGAAAACGATTGGGCGGAGCTAGCAGTGACAGCTAGCTCCGCCCAACTGTTTTCTATTGGCCGGGAAAAGCTGTCATTACAATGAGAGCTTGTTGGAGACAGCGAGTATATGAAAGCCAACTCTGCTAAGCTCTCCTCTTAATGACAGAACAGCATCCGCTAGTTACCTAGTAACCAGCGGACGCTGTTCTGTCATTAATATGAGAGCTTAGCAGAGTCGGCTTTCATATCACCGCCGGTTCTCCTAAGCTGTCGTCGTAATGACAGATTGGTAACCAGGGACGCCGATCTGTCATTACACACTGAGAACCTGGTGGAGCCGCTTTGGTAACCAGGGACGCTGATTTGTCTCTGCAAGTGGCCGGAGCCAGCCGTGAGATGATGGCTGGCTCTGCCCAGCTGTCAGTAGCAGGCTGTTGGCCGGCCAATGGGCGGCCGCTTGGCCAGCTTCACCTTTCAACTGGGCTCAGTCGAGCCGAAGCATATGCCTTTGGCTCGACTGAGCCGCTCGGCCAACTTCGGGAGCTGTACGGGCTATAGTGAATAGCCCGTACAGCAGCCGTTCAGTTCTACTGAACCGAAGGGGTCCTGGGGCCGAAGCTAGCCGAAGGATCATCCGGAGCTAAGGCTAGATCCTTCGGCAGCTTTGTGAATAACCCCCTATGTCTCCTCTCCTGTCACAGAAATTATGAAAATTAGCACAGTTGCTAAGCAAGTCAAATGTTTCAGTTTTCCCAAGGACATTATATACATAAAGTGGAATTTACTAATACTGGAGCAGACAGCATCTGGAGCAGCTGTGCAAGCCAACCAATCAGATTCTAGTTTTCATTTTCAAAGCTCAACTGAAAAGGCTGAAGATAGCACCTGATTGTTTACTATGCACAGCTGCTCCAGATTATAATTGTTCCAGTTTTATTAAATTCCCTCCATAGAGTTTGAATATTCTCTGACTATACTGTTCCGATAGTATAATATGAGTGTGGTACGTACATTAGATGATATGCGCCTTCAAATGCAGTGGCTGACATGAATGATTGTATTAACCTTGTAAAGTGCTATGTAATATATCTGAGGGACATCTTTTGGGAATTAGGAAAATCTAACTGTCATTTGTGAACCTCTGTAAAATGATGGTTGTGTGTAAATAAGGATATTATTATAAATAACTTCATGTATTTCATTTCATATAACAGTCTTTTGTATACTCACTTAAAATATAGAGCCAGGTCTGTAGCTATTATAGCAATATCCATCAGGTGAATAACATGTTCATGTTGTCTTCTATTTAGATTCTGGTAAATGTTCATAGACTGCAAAACAAAGTAAAAATAATTAACTTGTTAACTTCTGTTTTTTCAAGGCTTAATTACGTATTGCTGGTTAAAGGTATACATATTTGGGGCATTTACAATTCAAATGTAGTTTACCAGAGTATTGTAGGATCCAAGTAAAAGACTAATAACAGCAATGTGCAAGTGCAAGGATTACCAACACCATTCTTTTGTACATATACATGCTTCTATATTACTGTGCCTTACAAGCTAACACTGGTTATGATTTTAGTTTTAGAAGACAAAAGCCACAAAGTGCCACCTCCTTGTGTGAAATCTATTTTTATTTGAATAATAAAAATGGTTATAAATACTCACAATTATAAAATTTCAGTCATACTTGTCAATAAGAGACCACAAAATCATTGATCAAAGAATGTTCTGCTCTGACTGGATATAAAAAGCTGCCTCTGGTCACATCACCATATCATTGTGCCACCGGCTGCTTTTAGGCTGGATTTACACGTTTCAGGGGCATACCCCCTTCCTCAGAATCACTGGGGGTTGTTTAGCAAATGGCTGGGGGCGGGGGGAGTTCTATTGTATGTTGTTTACTTATTTTGTAACTATTTTACAGCATTACTAGCTGTTTTAAAACTAAGAATAGCCAGAGATGAAAAAAGTGCATTTGTTTGGTTTTATTACCTTTTTTTGTCTATACCTTGCAGGATCAAGGCCCATATCAGAAATTTTAAAATTGCTCCAGTCCATAAGGGTATACAGATATTGAGCTGAACTGGTTAAAATACTTTCATTTATTGTTTTTATTAGTTATTTACCTCATCTGCCAGCAGAAATTTTCCAAACTCCAAGTGATGTCTCTCCAAAATAGATGATCCATGCAATCGCGCTAAGGGGTGTTGAGATCTAAATTGGCAAAGGTTAAAGGTGAGTTCAACACTTCAATTTTTTGAGTTTAGACAGGTGTGTAGACATAAACAAATTTCAAAGAGTAACCCTTACATGGTCTGATTGTGAAAGATGTCAGTTTTCTGTCAAATCTTCTGGCTGATCTGTGAAAACTGGAGCAAAGAAATAAAAAGTGGAGGCAGCAAGTTAAAAACAATGGAGCAAGAGAAGAATTAAGGGCAGAAGCCTTATTTTCCTTGCTCATGTTTACACAGATCAGTCCTTGAGTTGTCTTTTGGGGAAGGGGGCCTAAAAACGTGTAGTTTTTAGCTACAAAATTCAATAAACCCTCTCTACAGAAGGTATTTGTATAAAATGTGTTTCCTAGAGTAAAACTACTTTCCAACAGTAAAGCTGTTCATTTTTGTGCTTAAATAACGATGGAAAAAAAGATTGAGATTTTTACTCAGGAATTGGATTCCATAAACTGGTAGCAACGCACCACAAAATGTAAACAAAACTTTTCCATAGCATACATTTTAGAAAATACAATATATGCCTTTGAATTGGATGGTGTTGGTTGGATATCACAAAAAATGCATGTATTGTACTTTTCTAAATTCATCACATTGGAAGTTTTCATACACCTCCTGTTCCTAAGCCATAACTTTCTTAGATTTTGGGGAAAGCCTCTAACTACCACTAAGAATGCCGCATTTGTTAACAGAGGAAGCAGCAGAATTTGGGACTACTGGAGAATAACATTAAAGTGTATTAACACCTTTGCAGCCTAATTGGAATAACACCTAGGGGTCTATTCACAAAGCTGCCGAGGGCAGCCGAGTGAATGACCGATCAGAAGTGAAGTGAGCCGAACACTGTTCGGCTATTCACTTCAGGCTGGTACGGCTGATTTCAGCCGTACATCGGCTGAAATCAGCCGTACATTGGCTTGCTTCGTGTGGCTTCGGATCAGCCGAACATGCTAAGCATGTTCGGCTGGGCCGAAGCCACACGAAGCAAGCCAATGTACGGCTGATTTCAGCCGTACATCGGCTGAAATCAGCCGTACATTGGCTTGCTTCGTGTGGCTTCGGATCAGCCGAACATGCTAAGCATGTTCGGCTGGGCCGAAGCCACACGAAGCAAGCCAATGTACGGCTGATTTCAGCCGTACATCGGCTGAAATCAGCCGTACATTGGCTTGCTTCGTGTGGCTTCGGATCAGCCGAACATGCTAAGCATGTTCGGCTGGGCCGAAGCCACACGAAGCAAGCCAATGTACGGCTGATTTCAGCCGTACATCGGCTGAAATCAGCCGTACATTGGCTTGCTTCGTGTGGCTTCGGATCAGCCGAACATGCTAAGCATGTTCGGCTGGGCCGAAGCCACACGAAGCAAGCCAATGTACGGCTGATTTCAGCCGTACATCGGCTGAAATCAGCCGTACATTGGCTTGCTTCGTGTGGCTTCGGATCAGCCGAACATGCTAAGCATGTTCGGCTGGGCCGAAGCCACACGAAGCAAGCCAATGTACGGCTGATTTCAGCCGTACATCGGCTGAAATCAGCCGTACATTGGCTTGCTTCGTGTGGCTTCGGATCAGCCGAACATGCTAAGCATGTTCGGCTGGGCCGAAGCCACACGAAGCAAGCCAATGTACGGCTGATTTCAGCCGTACATCGGCTGAAATCAGCCGTACATTGGCTTGCTTCGTGTGGCTTCGGATCAGCCGAACATGCTAAGCATGTTCGGCTGGGCCGAAGCCACACGAAGCAAGCCAATGTACGGCTGATTTCAGCCGTACATCGGCTGAAATCAGCCGTACATTGGCTTGCTTCGTGTGGCTTCGGATCAGCCGAACATGCTAAGCATGTTCGGCTGGGCCGAAGCCACACGAAGCAAGCCAATGTACGGCTGATTTCAGCCGTACATCGGCTGAAATCAGCCGTACCAGCCTGAAGTGAATAGCCGAACAGTGTTCGGCTCACTTCACTTCTGATCGGTCATTCACTCGGCTGCCCTCGGCAGCTTTGTGAATAGACCCCATACTTTACAATTGTTACATATTCCTAGTCACTGAAAAATCGTACTTAGCCTTCCCTTTCTATGTAATGTTAAACAGGGAGCTAGGGAGTTATGTTTACCATAATTAACCCTGTTTGTACCATAATCTTCATTATCAGTTGTAAACTAGACATGCACACTGTCTGTCCTAACAAAGAGTTAAAACATCAAGGCTTGGGTGGTACATTGTATGTTACATCATTTTCAATCCAGTCTGTCCATAAGGAGCCCCTAAATAGGAACAAGTTTTTTTGAATAATAGAAGCTGTCCATTAAGTCATGTGCATAATCTGCTCCAAAAAAACAACAACTGCAAAGGTAAGAAATACCTTTTAGTTGTTTTTAGGTATGCTGTGTGAATGGGAACACATAACAAACATATAGTGTGGGTTTCATAAATTTGGCTGTAAAGGTAGAAATTAGTGATGTCCCGATGCCACTTTTTTAAGACCAAATACAAGTACAAGTACTGGCCCTCATGTACTTGCCGATACCAATTACCGATACTTTTTCTTAAAGGGACAGGTGACATTTTTTTAAAAACCATCTGACTCACCTCTGAACTCCATGTCCACAGCTAAACTCTGTAACCCTCATTCAGAGCTCACCTTTGCCCCCTCATTCACAGCTTACCACTATACCCCGTCCACAGCTAAACTCTGCTCCCCCTTGCCACAGCTTACCTTTCCCACCTCACCTCTTCACCACCCAGCCACAGCTCATCTCTAAATCCACGTCCACATCTCAGCACTTCTTCCCCCCCCCCTCACTCCAGCTCTCCTCTGTACCCACTTCTACAGATCAACAGTGGGTGGAAGCAGCCTGAGCACCCAGGGATGTGGGCATGTGCCCTGGGTGCTTGACGGTACTGATACCCATGGTGCATACACATAGGGACAGTGAGGACCCCTTATCGTGAGCAACTACTGACTGTCTTCTTTGCCATCCCAGCACAGGCCCTTACTCACTCTTGCCTGTTCAATGGAGGTGCCTCACGAGGTGCCGAATGCTTTCTTTTTCCTTTTTGAGGATGTCGGCGGCGCTGAGCGTCGCGTCACTGTTCTGGGTGGAGCTACAGGCGGAGTCATCTGGGCAGTCGCTGGCCAGCCACATTAGGACCCCACCTGGAGCGCCGCCCACAGCAGTGACACGACGCTCCTCCAGTCTGCCCAGAGGACGGTAAAAAGGACCCCACGGACGTCGGCGGCGCTGAGCAGCTGAGCGTCGCGTCACTTTTGTGGGCGGAGCTACAGGCGGAGTCCTCTGGGCAGTCGCTGGCCAACCACATTAGGACCCCACCTGGAGCGCCGCCCACAGCAGTGACGCGACGCTCCTCCAGCCTGCCCAGAGGACAGTAAAAAGGACCCCACAGACGGTAAGAAAAAATTTAAAAACAACGCAAGCCTCGGCGCTAGGCATCGGGGCATTTTGACAAGTACAAGTACTTGTCAAAATGCCCTGTATCGGGCCCGATTCCGATGCTAGCATCGGTATCGGGACATCCCTAGTAGAAATACACAAGTGGAAGTGTTTCTCAGACTTAAAGTCACAATGTCAGACTCATCACAAGTGGTTTAAAACATGTAGCTAAAATATTCCATAAAATGTATCACACAGAATTTTCACTGATGACAAATTTTGGCTGGTGTTAGGTGTTCAATGTTCATAAAAAATAAACATTAACTTTTTGTGCCCAGTAGCTAATTTTTTTAAATTATTATTATTTGTGGGCTTCTTTTCTGGAGCCACCACAATGCTGCTAATCCCCCTCCTTGTCATTAGTTCCTCATATGCCCAATTTCTATAACAGAACATTAAATAGAAATAAAACTAGCAAAAAAAAAAAGTTTCCTAGATCTGTTTGTGGCAACGTACAGAACCTTTTTTTTTTCATTAAAATAAATTTTAAAAATCATTCCGTTTCATTCATAAAAGCAAATGTGGGAGATTTGCATTTGCAGTATATTTTCACACCAAAATCTGGATAACAGGTTTGAGTTATTCATGATCTTAGCAAGGCAGATGTCCTTTAAATTATAATCCCAACAGTAAAATCTAAATGTAAATGAGGAAAGTCCCTGTCCTAACAAATTACTATGCTAGAAAGTTTTTAAGAAACAATACTTCTACATCTAAAAAAATACCAGTACAAACATTGAAATAAAAAATTTTGAAAGATGACAAATATTTTCCAAAAGAATACAGCTTGCTTTTCAAAAAGACAAAGGTTTTTAGTAAGGGCTCAGTCACTCCATTTGCAGTGACTATAGTTTTTCAGCAGCTGATCAACACCTGTCACCCCAAGGGCACATAGAAAACAATTGTACCATTCACATCCCAATGTGGGTGTGATGTGCGATGTTGTTTAAATAAATGTAGACATGTGGCACTGCAGGTCAGTGCTCCACAGTGCAGCACACCACACTGCTGTACCTGAATAGAGTCTACACTTTGTACATTCCAAATAAAGCTAAAAAGAAAAAGTAAACAGCATGATGTGCTGAAACAGTGCTGAATCACACTGCCTCCCCGCTAAACTCCACTCAACACACTAGTCCACATTCTAAAACATTTTAGTAAGTTGGCTGGTATAAACGAGTCTAAAGTTTGTGGGGATGATTAAATATAGGAGAGAATGTTCCTGCAGCAAAATTAATGGTACTTTAGCATAGCCTGGTGAATAGAGTAAAACAGTGTTCACTTTAAATGCTCAATGCCCATGCTAGGGGATTTAAAGAAGCTCTGCTCCTGGGAGAAAGAGTGGTAAACTGCTGCAGATTTGAAGTACTAGCCCCTAGAGGTGCATAAACCTGCAGCAGCCAACCAAACCCAACAAAATTATCTTTGTCTTCAACGTGATTATAGTATATATTTTAACATAAGAAAGTAAAACTGCATACTTCATCTGGTAAAGATTATTTGTTCCTCTGTGGTCTATGTCATGGCAAAATCCAGCAGTCACCATTGCCATGGCCTCTAGATCTGTGTAGTAACGTTTCAGTTTCCCAGTCTGCAAAAAAGGGCAGGTTCATCACCATATGTATGTATAAAGGATGTCTATAAGTATAGCAATACCACCTTTATAGCATATATTATACAATTACACCTTTATTTGATATATATATATATATATATATACACACACATATATATATCCCGACAATCTGTGAAGTGTACAGTCTGATCTGCTACTTGTCTCCTAAGCGGAATTATGTGGATGTGGTTTAACTGTCCGAGGGCTGGGGGGGATCCTTCCGGGGCTGAGGAGCGTGTGGCTCGTTTCAGAGCATTTGTACATAATGAGAAAAATGACTATACAGTATATGTGTGTGTATATATATATATATATATTGTAAATTACAGAATATTATTGTATTAATATAGTGAAGAAATGTTAAAACTCCTCTCTGTGCTATCTGCATCCACAGAGGAAATGTATCTTCTTGATCTGTTTGAAACTTGTCACCTGTACAGAAAATAAGGGGAAATCTTCCCCACATAGGGCTGCATACTGTTATAAATTCCTGACAGGGGTGCTAAACCTTCCTCCCTACTAAAACATTTTATTTTATTGCTTTACTCCTGACATTTGTCAAAGAAACAGGAAATATTTCCCTAATTCCTGTTCGGTTTACCACCTTTCAAACAGGCAGGAAGAAAGGAGGAATAATCAAAATGGAATACAATCAGCAATAAAATGTGCACAGACATATTAAATGAAAAAGCAGGTCACCAGCACTCAAATTATTTAAATAGATATGTCCTTTTTAATGGACAATTATGTCACGACAATCAACAAAGCCGACGTTTCGGGGCCGCGCAGGGTCCCTTCTTCAAGGCAGATAGATGTGACAATGTGATAGTATTCATGCACCACATATATACCCCATAAAACCAGTGAATCATCAATAGCCACACCCCAGTGATGTCAGAATGGCGGGAGAAAACGCCATATTTAAAAGTCAAAATATCATTTAAAAACAGCATATTCAAATTCACAAAGATAGTTAATGAACTGTACCCACAATCTGATGATCCAAGGAAGCGCTGTGGTGGTAGAGTGTCCGACATCGCTACTGCATATATGCACGCCAGTCCAAAGATAGCGGCATTACGATCTAGCATCCCCAGCCAGTGTATACAGTGTCGCCCCTTATCCTCATAAGTCGCCGCGTACAATACGCGTCATCGGTTGCTAAGGTGATGGAGAGATACAATTTTCAATCATCATACGGCACAGATGCCGGGGCTATATGTCAGAGTTACAACCTGGGTGTGGGAAGAACAAGAGAGCTGATGTCCCCACTCCACGAGCACAGCAATAAACGTTCCAGGACAAAAGTGGGGCAAAGGAAAAGCAATATAATAATAATTGATATAAGACTGCGGTGTGCACAAAAGAAAATAATATTAATAAAAGTGATATATTCACATATAGGGAACCAAACCAGGGAACATACAAAGGGATAATACAAAATACATACATATATGACACATACACAAAATAAAACATAAAACAAGACACCAAATCGGCTCATAGACCATGAAAAATACTTTGCACAGTTAAATCACCAGACACACGAGCTCAAAGCAAAGGTTATCGAATACGTACCGAGACCGCACAGAGGCGGTAATAGAGACAACATATCATTACGTAGGGAAGCCTACTGGATTCATAGGTTGAATACAGTAAAACCAAGAGGACTCAATTCCTCTTTATCTTTGTCCTGTTACCTAGTTGAATAGGTTGCAATGTCAACTCTCTTGATATTTATATATACATATTTATATGATTATTTTTTTTTCTTATGATTATGTGTACCTAGTCATCTATCAACATTGACGTTTCATCTTAATATATTGGAGAATTTTTAGAATTTTTTATATTTATAGGATACCCATCTATACATTTATGTGGGTTATCCTTATGTAATTAATTTATGCTAATTTTTCAGTTATTTCTTTCGATATTTTTCATGGTCTATGAGCCGATTTGGTGTCTTGTTTTATGTTTTATTTTGTGTATGTGTCATATATGTATGTATTTTGTATTATCCCTTTGTATGTTCCCTGGTTTGGTTCCCTATATGTGAATATATCACTTTTATTAATATTATTTTCTTTTGTGCACACCGCAGTCTTATATCAATTATTATTATATTGCTTTTCCTTTGCCCCACTTTGATCCTGGAACGTTTATTGCTGTGCTCGTGGAGTGGGGACATCAGCTCTCTTGTTCTTCCCACACCCAGGTTGTAACTCTGACATATAGCCCCGGCATCTGTGCCGTATGATGATTGAAAATTGTATCTCTCCATCACCTTAGCAACCGATGACGCGTATTATACACTCTACCACCACAGCGCTTCCTTGCATCATCAGATTGTGGGTACAGTTCATTAACTATCTTTGTGAATTTGAATATGCTGTTTTTAAATGATATTTTGACTTTTAAATATGGCGTTTTCTCCCGCCATTCTGACATCACTGGGGTGTGGCTATTGATGATTCACTGGTTTTATGGGGTATATATGTGGTGCATGAATACTATCACATTGTCACATCTATCTGCCTTGAAGAAGGGACACTGCGCGGCCCCGAAACGTCGGCTTTGTTGATTGTCGTGACATAATTGAAAAGGACATATCTATTTAAATAATTTGAGTGCTGGTGACCTGCTTTTTCATTTCGTACTTTGCACGGTGCCATCCGTGGTAGTCACTACAAGCACCATCATTCTTACTGGCCGGGATTGCTGTAAGGTGTGCGGAGAGCACCCTCATCATCTGAAACACAGACATATTAACACTTTTCCACTCCCTTCCAGCCCTCTAAAAAAAAAAGCTTTAGCTGGACATGAGCTTTAAATATACACATTTGTCCTGTAATAATCCTTTGGTATTACAGTTCACATCATAGCAAAGGATTGTTACTATTGCATAACTAAATTAATGCAACTATAACTAACCAATAAAAATTAGTCAAGAACTGATATTTCACTTTAATCACATGATAGTGTGCAATTAATGCACGCTATGGGACAACACAACTAGCATGCATTACTCTGCACTAGGTGCATTGCATTGCCATTCATCTGAATGGCACCATAATGCACCTCCCATCTGCTGTACGCTGCAACGCAGCACAACACATGGTATTGCAATACCATGTGTTGTGTTGCAGTGGAATAAGTAGTGCATGTATTGTGCAATTAACACAACATTATGGTATGAATGGGCCCTCAGTCAGATGTCTGCCCATCCTAAAAAGAGGGGGCTGTTACAGAGTTCTTAACTGTTTACAGGTGTATTATTTGTTAGCTGGTGTTGGCATGGAGGGAACAACATTCTTAATTATATCTTTGTATTCTTTTCCGGAAAAGGTGATATCATAAAGGATTTTCCACTTAACACATAAGCGACATATACTTGGTTAGCACATACCATCAAGAGAGTGAACATAGTTTGGGCAACATTGAATCCATGACGCCAGTTGTGATAGGTAACCTTCCTATATCCTTTCTTCATTGCATACATAAATCTTACCAGTGCCTGTAAATAAAGTAAATACATCAGAATGTTAAAGGATGAAAAAAATAATGACATAACATACAATAACAATGATACAACTTTACAGTCCATTCAACTATAAACCTGAGAAGCAAATCCTCTATGTGAAGTGATGCCTTATACCTGTAATCACCTGCTACTTGGCCCTAGATTAAATGCCAGCACTGGGAAAACAGCATTGCCATTTTTATAGTGCCATCATTTACTTAGCCCAGCCTTTCTTAGCCTGGGCGCCATGTCACTCTGGTGTGCCTTCTGGCTTTCTCAGGGTGCCTTAAAAGTTTGTGATAGTGAAATTGGGAATGGAAGGGGGGAATGAAGACTGATATGAAGGGGCTCCTGATGTAAAGGGGGAAGTGTAATGTGAAAGGGGGGGGGGGGGTTTTTACTGATTTGAAGGGGGAATGAAGACGGAGGTGAAGGGGGAATTTCTGATGTGAAAGGGGGGGACTTTGACATGAAAGAGGGGCTTCCGATGTGAAAGGGGGGCTCCTGGTGTAAAGGGGAGCTACTGATGCAAAGGGTGACTCGGATGTGGAGGGGAATCTTGATTTGAAGAGGGCACTTCTATGTGAAGGTGGAAACCCACTTTTCTGTTTGTTCTTGCATGGTGTCCTCCTTCAAATCTATGACATTTAAGACTGGGGTGCCTCGAGAGTTTGTATACTTTTAAAGGATGATGTCACCAAGAAAAGGTTGAGAAATGCTGACTTAGCCACTGTAATTAATGGGAATCAATGGCAAAGAAGCAACTTTCAGTTTAATTTTACAGAACTATTTAGTGAGAAATATAACACATTAATATTTTAAACTCTGGTTATGAGGTCACAGGGAGCAGTGGTTTACATGAAGATTCTCTGATAACATAGCAGATAGTAAAAGGAGATCCCCACTAGTATTGTTACTGCCTGTTTGTTTTACTTTAAGTCTGCAGAGCTTTCTTCCTGTTTTTCATAAGGATTTGCTGACTTTAAGAACAAAAATACTTCTAGTTTGTAACAGGTTGTAACTCCTAATAAATTATTTCATCTTAAAAATAAACATGTGGTAGGGGTGGAGGGCTTTTTCATCATTTGTAAAGATTGTAAAAAGAGGCATATGCTTTTCATTTTATTTTTAGGAAAGGCATATCTAAAATCACACAATGTTAGTATGCTTGAACTTACTGTGTATATATAAAGTAATGCCAAAACACTTTTTTCCTTGAATAAAATATAACAGGAGAGAACATAAGCACCTGTCTACCTTTAGATGTCAACATCTCCTAAAATACATATTCAAGCCCTATGCATAAACTGAAAGGAATATTTACAAAACATGTATATGCTGTACCAGTTCTGCATTCAAGCAGACATTACAAGATCTCCAGAAGGCAGGACCCTTTATCTATTTTTAAATCCAGCTTTCCGCAATTAAATTTTTTAAACCTTTACCAGATTACCACACTCCAAAATATTAAAGAAGAAAACTTACCTCTGGGGGTATTTGAAACTTTTTTACCACTCCAAGTTCATAATACATTTGGATTCCACACTTCACAAGTTCTACTTCAGTGCAATCAAAATCCGAGAAGCGGAATTCATAAATTTCAAACTTATGTGGCCCTGGTAACTCTTTTTTCTGACAATAAGAAAAGAGAGAAAGATCAGTTTT